AAAGGAATACAAAAAGCAAGCATGGGAAGAGCAATACAAAAGTAAAGGTAGTCAATGGCCTTCATCCCCAATTCTTGGAGGCGCGACCTCGTCATCCCCAGGCTAATTGCCAATCACCTAGCCAATTATGGGCTCCTCGGGGACATACCCCGAATGCTCCCCTTGATCAGGTCCTTGGGCGGCATCCACTGCATCCTTATCGTCGAGTCGCGCCATGGATCTAAGGATTTCCCGTTATTCCTCCGGGAGGTCGGACATGTTCAATTAGGGATTCTTCGATCGTAGGGCATAGATGGACTGAATTGCCCATTCAGTGGCCTTCGACTCGATCTCTGCCCTTTGACGCTGCATCTCTTCAGTTAGCGAAGTGACTCTTCCCTGACTAGCTTGCAGCTCAGCCTCAAGCACCTGCTTTTGCTTTTTGGTGGCCTCCCACAGCTCGCCCCTCTCCCGTTCTGCTCGCAAGGCCTGCTCAAACATCGTGTTCAGCTCTTGGTCTTTCTTGCCAGCCTCCTTGGTGAGTCTGGCCACTTTCCTCTGAAGCTCTTTCATCTCCTTTCCATTCTTCTCTAGCTCGACTTTCTGGGTCCACCGTGCGAAAAGCAGCGTTCCTCTCATTCAGGTACTGGTTTGCCAAAGCAGTGGACAAGTCTTTCTCTACTTCAGTAGCCTCCAAGTCCCATTTGAGTCGAGTGTTCTCTTCTCTTAGCATGACCATCCCCTCGACGGCTCCTAGCTAGACCTTTTGTAGGGACAGTTGCATGGAGAGCAAGGCCTACGAACAAAAGAAATAACAAGTTAGTTTCTTTGCTACTTAAACGAAGCAAAGTCCTCGCCGAGGACAGCTCGTCCTACCTTGCTCAAGTATTGAATGGATGTGGACATCAGGTCCACATAACCTGAAGTCACAAACTCCTCAAAAGCCTTCGCGAGCCCACACTCTAGCAAGGTAAAAACCATCGGCTGCAGATAGTCTAGAAGTTGTCCCATTGAGTCAAGCACAAGAGTGTCTGTGCCCGCGCCTCCAGCAAGAGTCATGTAGCCTTTCGGTTCCTTGCCTGATCTCCTCCCAGGGTTCGCGACCTCACTCTGTCTTGTTTGCGGTGCCCCCAAGGCAATGGAGATGCCAGTCGCACCCCTGGCAGGCCCTCCCTAGCGGAATGCTTGGTAAGCCTGTGACCTCTCGGGCTGAACGCCTGGGCCCTCCGATTCAAACTCTAATTCTTCGGTCCGAATTTGCCACCTCTTCTTAGGCCGTTAAGCCGTTGTCTTCTGCCTCGAGTGAACATCCCGGGGCTAGGGAGCGCCCACAGGTCAGACCAGAGCACCAATTGGTGCCCTTTCGGCAGAGGGACTGGTAGGGGCACCTCCAGTCGGTCCAGTGGCCCCCACTATAGGGAAGGTAAACTGCCTTGGTCGTGGCGATTTGGACACCTTTGGAGGCATGGTCGCTGCATGTGAACGTCGTTAGCAAAACAGTTTGCGATTGTCACGAGCAACCTAGCGTCGCGACTTTCTTCAGGCAAAAAGCTGAAGGCAGTAATCCTGTCCGGATCTGCGAGGAGCTCTAAACTGGTCATTTTGTTAACTGCAAAGAAAATAAGAGCTTGTTAGCGAAGACCAAAAGAGTTCGCAAAGCTATAAAAAAGGAAAACCTACTCGGATCCTAGAAATAGCAAAGGCCGTTGTAATGAAAGAAAAAGAACTTTGTCTCATACACCCCTACATTGCTCGGGTAACTGTGTATTCCCACTCCAATGGTAGTTTACCTGGAAAGGTAATAGCAATCTTTGTCCTTACTGTTTTTCAGGATATACGAGTAACCGAGCTCTAGCGCGGTTAGCTCGCCTAGTCCATTTTCATAGCACACGATGTATATGGCCACAACTATCATGTATGCATTCGGTGTGAGCTGTAAGGGTGCGATCCTGAAATGGTCGAGGACCGACCTGACAAAGGAGTGGAAAGGGATCAACCCCCCACCCTTGAAAATGTCCTCGAAAATCGCAGCCAGCCCTTGTGGCAGATTTCGAGCTGTGCATGTCCTGTCTCGGAAGACCTCCACGCTGATAGCGTATTGGTCTATCACCCTTTGAAGCTCTTTGTCGGTAAACACCAACAAGATCTCTTGAGGGGGACCCGTAGAAGCATCCTGCGCAGATGAACTAGTCCCTTCCTCGGCTCTGGTCATTGGGGGGTCCATTCTACTGTGGTATACAAAAGCAACAAGCAAGGAATCGTTCAGTCCTCGTACACTATTCTGTACGATGATGTGGAAGGAAACAATAAATATTTCCTCCCTTAAACCCTGGAAAAACCTTAACATAATACTTTTAAAGCTACCATTGATGGCTCCATCCCAAAGAGAATATTTCATCTCTTGTCAACTACCGACGGATTATCGTCGCATGATGACTACTGAAAACAACAATAAAAGCAGCAGAGGGACAATCCTTACCTCCTAAAATGAGAAGATCAATCCTTCTGCTTCGAATATTAAATGCGCACTGGTTTGAAAGGCAAAGAATCAGAGTTCACGAAAATCTCTTGCTCTCTCTGAGAAGATGAATATTGTGACATTGCTTGAACTGAACCTGGGTTTTATAGTGAAGGAAAAGACGCTTCGGTTTCCCAGAGTCAAACGACGTTTGGGCGGAAAACGCATCCGACCATTGATCATGACCACGTGTCGCGAATCAACAAAGAAGAGTGACCGTCACGCCCCAAGAAACCAAATTGTCGTTCTTTTCCGTTGAAAAACTCAAGCGACGGCACGTTCTCCCTCTTCCACATTAAATGCGCCCATGTCCGCATTTAATGATCTGATAGGGAATGTCGTTTCAGCATGACTCGCATTTAATGTGCATGGCTGGCACTTATTGTGCATAAGGCACGTCTGTCAGAACAGAAGGTATTTCATTAAATGCACCTGTAGCAAAAGTGCAACGGAAAACATTTGAAGAGGTCGTTATGAAAAACACTCTTTGTCTTGTAAGTAGCGAAGCGACGCAATCCCTCGACCTTAACGGACATCAGTTGCGAAGCAACGTAATTCTTTGTTCTTAACGAAACTTGCCAAGTGTAATCAGGTCGCGAAAATCAGTCCAGGTCGGCGTCATCGTTGTGGCAATGAGTACGATCTAAAGTCAGGTCGCTGACCTTACAGCGAAGATCGTTTCAGGTCACCTGTGTTGAAATATGTTCTTGACCTCTTTGCAAGCAAGTCGAGTCAACCATCACCTATTCGAATGCATCAAATCAAGGCATAATTATGTAGTTTCTAAGGTTTGATCTTCAAACTTTAAAAACTAGGGGACTTCTGTTATACCTAAAAAAGTAGGACTGACGTAGAGCCCGGTCAGCATAAATGATCAGAGTCTAACGTAGCCACATCACATGCTGGCGTGAGCAGCATGCTCCTGCCAGTGTGGTAGGTGCGTGCCAGATTGACGAAAGGCTGGAGGCCTTCCACGTGTCCAACCCCTACGTTGAACGAGAAAATCACTTGAGTGGGTGAGCAATGAGACGCGAAGAAGGATTTGCATGATATCTGCCCCATTTTTACAGATTCTGTAATCATTACTCCAATTTATCCCATTATAAATAGAGAGCTCCTCTCCCGTTTGTGGGATTGGCTCATTTTACTTTGTAATAACTTATTCTCTCTCAGTAATCACTTGCAAGTCAGCTCGCTGAACACGACCTAACCCTCCATATTAATACAATATCAGTGGACATAGGAGTTGCTTGCTTAAGCATCCGAACCACTTAAAAAACATTGTTTCTCCATCTCTTACTTATTTCATTACCCCCATCCACGTGTGTCTTATGGGCTAGCTCAGTACTTCACACGTACGTTTAGTTGATGTCAAAATCACGCATCAACAATTCATCTTCGGTTCCATTCGAGCTTACAATGTGAAAGAAAAATAATGAAGGAGAAAATCTGAAGAAGCAGAAGAAGAAAGAGAAGAGGAGGTGAGAATAGAGAAGAGAATATGGAAGAAGTAAAGAAGAAAGAGAAGAGGATGGGGAGAAAGAAAAAAAAAACGAAGGAGAAGATCTGAAGAAGTAAGAAAAGAGAAGAGAATAAGGCAGAAAGAGAAGAGGACGGGGAGAAAGAGAGAAAAAAAAAAAAAGATGAGGTGACAGGTGAGAAGAAGAAAGAGAAAATGAGGGGAGAAAGAGAAAATAAAAAAAATGAGGTGATAGGTGAAAAAAAGAAAGAGAAAATGAGGTGACAAGTTATATATATATATTGCTCATACAGTAATTTACAACTATACCGAGCTCGATTAAATGAGCTCGAGCTCGAACACGAATATTGAAGCTGATTACGCTCGACTCGAGTTCGAGCTTGCTACTGTTTATTACGAGTCGAGCTCGAGTATCGAGATATTCGGCTCGGCTCGGCTCGTATACATCCCTAGGTGGAAGCAGGTCAAATGCTATTTTTGGTTTTTTACATGAACCAACCCGGTCTAGCCACCGATTCCCGATCGAATCGGTTTAACTGGTCAGACTGGGCTTTAAAACCATGCTCTTGGGTATATTATTCAAGAAATCCTGAGTTTGATCCATTTGGTTTGCTAATAAGAATGGCTACTAAGAGGATTTACCGACTGTCAATTTTAAGATCCCGAATTATTAATTGAGATATGCACAAACTGACTAGGACACTCTTGGCAAAAAATAAATAAAATAAATAAATAAAAGCTGAGAACCATAATAAGGAAATCGAAAAGAATAGCCCATATTTTATTTGAAGGTTCCGGGTCTGGGTGGATCACCCCAACCGTCTCCGGCCCGTTTCCATCCCTGTATATCTAAGTGACAACCTTTGGCGCCATCCGACTTCCCCAAACTTGTAATGGAAAGCCTCTGCAACTAGAAAATGAAAACTCCACATTGCTAGTTTTCATTTGCATTCTCACTGACACTGATAATCAATCAAAATGCTTCCTTTTTAACTCTTCAATCCCTAACGCACTCTCATCTTCATGGCGTCTCACACTCCCTCCAACAAAACCCTAACCCTAGACTCAACCCATCTCTTCCTCACCATCCAATCCTCCCCTTCTAATTTCCTCACTTTTCCTCCTATTCCATCCACGTTCCCTCCCTCCAAACACATCCCCAAAACCCGCTTCCTCATCGACGCATTCCGTCACGCCTCCGATTTCTCCGTCTCTTACTTTCTCTCCCACTTTCACTCTGATCACTACACCGGTCTTTCCCCTTCTTGGTCCAAAGGCATCATTTTTTGCTCTGATATTACTTCTAGACTTCTTATTCAGGTACTTAAGGTTGAACCCAAGTTTGTATTTGCATTGCCTATTCAAGAACGTGTCGTGATTGATGATTGTGAGGTTGTGCTTGTTGAGGCCAATCATTGCCCTGGTGCTGTCCAGTTCTTGTTCAAGGTTCCTTGCAAGAATGACCGTTTCGAGAGGTATGTTCATACGGGTGACTTTCGGTTTTGCAAAGCTATGATTTTAGAGCCTGTGATGAGTGAATTTGTGGGTTGTGATGGGGTTTTCTTGGACACTACTTATTGTAATCCGAAATTCGTGTTTCCTTCGCAAGAAGAGAGTGTTGAGTACATAGTAAATGTGATTAAGAGAATTGGAGGTGAATGTAGTAATGCTTTGGGGAAGAATGTTCTGTTTCTTATTGCTACTTATGTGATTGGTAAAGAAAAGATTTTGCTTGAAGTTTCAAGAAAATGTAATAGGAAGATAATAGTGGATGCAAGGAAAATGGAGGTTTTGCGGGTTTTGGGGTATGGGGAAAATGGTGTTTTTACGCCGGATGAGAGTGAGAGTGATGTTCATGTTGTTGGATGGAATGTGTTGGGGGAGACTTGGCCATATTTTCGGCCAAATTTTGTGAGAATGCAGGAGATTATGGTGGAAAGAGGATATGCTAAGGTTGTTGGTTTTGTGCCAACAGGGTGGACGTATGAAGTAAAGCGGAATAAATTTGCAGTGAGGTCTAAGGATTCCTTTGAGATACATCTTGTGCCATATAGTGAGCATTCAAATTATGATGAACTTAGGGAGTATGTAAAGTTTTTGAAACCGAAGCGGGTTATACCTACTGTCGGCATGGATATTGAGAAGCTTGACAGCAAGCATGCTAATAAGATGAGAAAGTATTTTGCTGGATTGGTTGATGAAACGGCTAACAAGAAAGAATTTTTAATGGGTTTCCAGCGTGGGGCCCATGAAATTGATCACAAAGATGAAGTAGGTGGTGGCCCAGATGAATGAATTTGAAACCCTTAGATGAATGAATGACTTACTTAGAGAGGTTGGTAACACAAATTTTGGTCCTGTCTTTGTTGAGAGGACACTAAATTTGAGTACCCAATAATACAAAGATTTGTGAGAGAGGCAAGCTTGTGTAATCCCCACTGGATTGGTAACTTATAAATATTTACATTTTCACCTAACCGAAGTTAGGCTAATAAGAAAACCTTCTTTTGGAAAGAGCATAATACTTGGAAACTTGCATATTTCCAATTGAGAACTGAGATTGTGCATTGGGTATGGCAGGACTTTAATTCTTAAAAGAATGTTAAGATTGAATATACAATTGGGTTATATATCAAAACTTGCAAGATGCTTAAGGAGATTATTGATTAGATAAACTTCAGCTATCTGATACAATAATCTCTTAAAAACGACACCTCTAGTTATACAATTTTGACAATAAATCAGTAAAACAATATTTAACCATTTAAAACTAAACACAAAGAGAAGATTCATATAAAACTATCAGTAAAAATGCTTTAAGTTGTTATGTTTGTAAGTTCTTTCTGATCAACTGCTACACTGTTGTTTCTCTTGATAATACAATAAATTAATAATGAATAATGCTATATAAACTAACTATTTGTACTAATCCAAATACTAATATTAAAAATTTAAAATTCCTTAAAAAAAAAAAATTCAAATTTTTAATATTAATACTTGGATTAATACAAATTGGTTAGTGCATATAGTATTATTTATTAATAATAACGTTGTTCCTAATGATAATACAACCATTGTCTTCCCACGCATCAACTCTTTATATCTTTCATTGCAGGAAACATCACAATTATAGCGGTGGGTGCTGTTTCTCTTTATGATATTTTAATGATAACCCATTTTATCGTCTTATGACTATTAAGGTTTTTTTTTTTTTTTTTTTAATCGTATTCTAACAATAACACATCTCCAAACATCATGTAATGCAATTGTATTATGGCAATGAACAAACAATGAAAGAACTCTGATATTATTTTATCTTTAGATTTTCAGAAACCCAAATCTATGTCTTCTGAATTACAAAAAATGCAAAATGTCTTCAAGAGACATATACCCGTTATTCTAGAAACCCAAATCTACGTCTTAAAAACACAAACTCAATCTTTTGAGACACATCCCCACTGCAAAGAAACCCAAATCTATCTCTTAGAAACACAAACTCATATCTTCGTAGACATATACCCACTTCAGAGACACACGCCCATACTTCTCAGAAACCCAAATCTGTCTCTTAGAAACACAAACTCATATTGTCTGAGACACATACCCACTTTAGAAACACACACCCGTACTTCTCAGAAAAGTAAATGTATCTCTTAGAAACACAAACGCATATCGTCTGAGACACATACCCACTTCAGAGAGACACAACCATATTTCTCAGAAACCCAAATCTATGTGTTGAGAAACATAAACTCATGTCTTCTGACACACATACCCATGTCTGATACACATACCCATACTCTCCAAAACCCAAATCTATGTCTTCAAAACATAAACTGTGTTTTCGGAGATACATACCCACTTCACTCACATATACCTATATTTCTCATAAACCCAAATTTATGTGTTCAGACACACATACCCATGTCAGAGACACATACCCATATTTCTCATAAACTCAAATCTATCTCTTCAGAGACACATATCCATACTTTTGGTTTGCAATCTCCAAGAGCTTTACATTCATACCCAAAAATCGTAATCTTGCCAACTCCTCCCATACCAAGAAATGGGTTATTACACAAAAGATGACATCAGTTTCTCCATCCCTTATCACCCTTTGAATCATTTTAGCTTTATCTTCATCTCTGCCAAAAGCAGTAGGTTCAGTTGGCAAAGATATAATGCGTGGTCGTTTCCATACAGATGGAACTACCTCTCCATTAACTACTTGCAATTCAAGCTCAATTCTTTCCTCACAGATTCCTTCCAATCCGGAATTTATATCTTTCATCTTTAACCTTAAATTAACCCTGATTCCATCATAGTTCGGATCTGTCACACAACAAATGCAATCTCTATGACTTGATGGGTATATAATTACTATAAAAACTCAGTCATGCATACCAAATGTTTGATAAAATGACTGTTATACATCCATAAATAAACCCAGTCGGGTCTTAATCTAACAAGAACAATTGGCTTTTATATGGAGAGAAAAGCTAACCTTCTAAAGCCGTAAAAAGGGAGTTTCACAGCAGATCTTGCAACTGAAGCAGAGGAGTAAGACCAGCTTGGTAAAATTAAGAAAGTATGCGAAAGTATGGTCGGTGTTTTGGTTCTCCGGTGGTTGGGTTGACTAAAAGCTGACCCAGAACAGCAACCAAAACGAGAAAGCGGCGTGTGAGAGTTGATATCATTTTATTTTTATATGATGTAATGGCATGGGCTAGGTCTAGGTATTTGGGCACGTGAGATAGCCGACTGGTCGTACCTCTTTGAAATGAGTAAACGACATTTCTGTTGCTTTTATGAAATTTTATATATTGGGTCATTTAGTCAAATTAGCAAACTTAGGGGGTTTTTAGAAATTTTTAAATTTATAAAAAACTAAAAATAAAACTTTCAAGGGCATTTTAGTCTTTTCACTATTATCAAACGAAAATCACTAACAGAACATGACGGAAGGTACCCATTTGTCGTTTCAAAACCTTTTGGGTACCAACTTGTCGTTTCGGCAAATATTGGGTATGTATAAGTCGTTCTCCCTATTGTGTTTTAGAAAAGAATTAAGTTAGGACAAAAAGCTGAGATTATTTTAGATTTTTTATTCATCATGTGATTATTTTAGCCTTTTTTAACATCTTTGAGCCAAATATTAACAATATGCAGCAAAAAAGGATGAATAATTTGTTAATCTTATATGTGATTATATTATTAAAATCATCAACTAATTTCATAATCTTTAATGAACAAGTTTCTATGAGATTGCTGAAGAGGACTTTTATCCTAACCCTCCTGTATTAATTTAGTTATTAGTACTTTCAATTGGAGAATGGCCTAACAATAAAGATTGCGATACTTATTTTAACCCCCCGGTGTTTTCAAAATATACAAACCCCTAAAGGATTATGTTAGCAAATGGTGGAGAAGAGAGGTTTGAGAGAATTTTGTGAAATCTGAGGAGAGGTTAGGGATGTTATTTTAAACTTCTAGAGTGCTCTTTTCAAAAACTTAAAAAAAAAAAAAAATTACTCTAGTGAAAGAGTCGACTAGATTGTAGCACTAGAGTTGACTGGAAGAGAGTCAAGCGTTAGAGTGACTTTCTCTATCTGTTAGACTAAATTTACTAAGCCAATAAAAAATAGTTCAGATTTCAATTTAACCCCTAGAAAAAGGTTTTTAAGTAGTTATTATATAGTTTTGAGACTTTGTTAAGTATCATATTATTTTGCTTAATCTCTGGAAATTTAATACCAAGTTTTGGAATACCAATGGGGTATCAAGTTGCGTGTTTCTCTTCCATTCTTCGTGGATGTGGCTTTTTGTGAACCACATTAAATTATTTTATCATTTGTGTGAGTAGTGATTTATTACCCATAAATACAAATAATATATTTTGAAACTTATATCATTTTTTTTGTTTTTATAGTTTCGTAAAACAGTTCCCTCGTAGATAATATCCTATACAATTATTGAGCTATTATCTATAAACTTAATATTTTTTAATTGAGAGTTCCTGATTTGCACGGTATCTGCCCCTTTTTTACGGATTTGCACGGTATCTGTCCCATTTTTATGGATTCTATAATTATTACTCTGATTCATCCCACTATAAATAGAGAGTTCATTTCCCGTTTGTGGGATTAGCTCATTTTTACTCTGTAATAGCTAAATTCTCTCTATAATAGCTTATTCTCTCTTCTGTAATCACTTGCAAGTTAGCTCGCTGAACACGACCTGACCCTCCATATTAATACAATATCAGTGGACGTAAAAGTCGCTTGCTTAAGCATCCGAACCACTTTAAAACATTGTTGCTTCACCTATTACACATTTCACTACCCCCATTTGCGTGTGTCTTCTAGGCCAGCTCAGCATTTCACACATGCGTTTAGTTGGTGTCAAAATCACACATCAACAGTTTGGCGCTAGAAGGAGGGCCTGATTTAGTATTCGTCCTTCATCAGGAGAATCTCTGACTAATCGGTCCTGCTACAGCAAATGGCTCGCCGATTCGAATCTGAGCGAACCAATCATGGACACTTCTCCCAAGGTGCCCTCAGTTCCACAAAATGTTGTGAGGGATATTCCTTCAAGCTCACAGCTCGACCTTGCCGTTATGAGCTACCTGGAGAGGTTCAACAATACTCTCCAAACAGTCAACCAAAGGTTGGACCGTTTGGACTGGGGCATGCCACCCGAATCAAATGGGACAATGCAACTGCCAAAAACGCTTGCAGGTCGCATGAAAGCGCGAAAAAAGGCGATGGACCATGCTGCGCGCACTGCAGCGCTTCAAAAGAAGGGTAAGTAAGTGGCAAACAGCAGACCTAAGGGCTCCAAAGGGCCGCCATACACCGACCATGTCCCAGGTAAAATACCCATGGCATTAAGGCTCGGTGATAAGTAGCATCCCGAGCTGTCCCATGCCACATCGCATGAGCACTCCCATAAAATTGCTGGGCAGGCCGACTCTTATCACCGCCAGAATAACGATCCCGATCGTCATCGTGCGGGAGGTTCCCACACTCCGCGGGGCGGTTCGTACCACCATGGAGGTCGTGAAAATTCTCTGCACCATTCATCACCATCACACGGCTCTAGCCAGCGTATGTGAAGATTGGCCGGAACTACTGGCAAAGGCGAGGAGGCATCCGACCTATGGTCATTCCTCAACCGCAATCGCGAAGGTCGAACTCGCATGGGGGAAAGCAGTCCCTAGATAGCTCCGCTGCCTCAGATTGAAGAGCTGCAGCGAGCTCTAGATCAACTAAAAGCTCAGCAAAATGAGC